GGTAGATTTTATATAGTGAAATAAAAAACTTTGCATTGAAAAATAGTACAGTAGTCAGACATGAATAACATCATCATCATCACAGTTTTTGTTTAGTAACTGCCTTGAGTAGTGACTGTGCAATTATGACAGTGATGAAAAAAGTAACTTCGCAACCAGTCTTTGCATTTATGACCTTTGCAGATTTGTGAAGCAAAGGAAAGCTGAAGTAGGATCATAAACACACTTGCAGTTTCACTTTACTTGAAGACTTGAGTTGCGGTCACTAAATGAAGACTGCCTATATACCTCAGGTGGTTCGTTGATGTATCATTTGTATTGGCTCACTGAATTCCCTGGGTTCATATGGTCCTCTGAGCTATAAACTAGCCCAACATTTTAGTTTAGTGTGCTATGTAAGTCCAATGATCTGATGAAAACAAATAGCTTTGTTCCCTACTTGTGAACATTTAAGCATAAACTAATGCTTATGACTCTTGATCTACTATAGTAAATCTACTGCTATATTTCTAGTAGAGGACTGCATTTTAATTAGTGGGATTACCATTTGTAGCATTGAAGTTTAAGTTTGCATTAAAATTTAAATCGGCATCTGAACAATGAGTTATATACTGCTGTTTTGTACTGAGCCATAAAAAACCTTCCCAGATAACAGATTTTCAATTTTTTATCTGTCTGGGTATTATAATGTAATTTACAAATGTAAAAATAAATCAGTATCTAAATTGCCTATTGTGTGATTTATTGTATCTGTTTTATCCAGGTTTTGTGGGGAGCCCTTGTATTGTACAAAACGTATACTATCTTTTGTAAACCAGGGATTGGCAGAACAGATTAGTATTTGTTGATAGATTGATGATTCCTGACTCTTAATTGTTAAATAAAAATAAATCCTATCAGCAAGTTAGGCTACTGAAGAAAAGGAAGTGGGAGGGAATATTTCTAGGCTGAAATGTATTAGGAGTGTCCTGTTCCTTAGTTCAAAGCTTCTCTATCTCAGTAATTGTTTACTCAGATGCTTGTTGGATTCCCTCCAGTTAGCTGGGCAGTAAATAGTATAGTAATTCATTTTTGCAGTGAAAGCTGCTTTCTAATGAGGTACAATATTCCATTTGCAAAAACTGATCTTATTAATTTAAATAACAAGACTTTTGCTGGATTTAGACCTTTCTGAGAAATTGTAAGAGCATTCAAATTTAATCTCATTTTTGCCCCTAATTATAATAGTATTTGCTTTTATACTATTTGGGCATAAATGTGCTGTCCCCATGTACTTTTTGCATGTCTCCAAAAGTGTTAATTTCAAATAACCAGATTTACATACATACTTGTTAATTATGTAAGCTAGAGAAATTCATTTTTCAGGAAAGGCATTGGAATTTTTTCCAGTGCAGAATTGAATAGGTAAATGATATTAGTGTGCTTCATTTTGTTTATATATTCAATATATGTATCTAATACATTCTTTAGTGCTTTTAATCTGAATAATAGAACATACAATTTGAAGGGAGTGTGAAGATCTCCTTATCCAATCCCCTGCCTGGAGCATGGATCCATTACTATAGCATCCTGACAGATGGCAACCCAGCTGCTGTTTAAGTATTTTTCCTGAAGATTGACCTCCTCCCCAGATAGTCTTTTCCATTGTTTATTTTTATCAGGATTTTTCCCCTTGCTGTCCAGAATTTACCACCTTGTAATTTAACCCCATTGCTTCTTGTCTTATCTTCTGGAACAACTTTGAAGAATAATGCCCTGAGTTCTGCATTATCACCCATTATATATTTGGTAACTGCTATTGTGTCTTTCAACAATCATAGGCAGATCATACTCAGCACTTCCAATTTTTTCTGATAAGTTTTTCTTTCCAGGTCCATTATAATTGTGATTATTTCTTTCTGGGCATTCTTCAGTTTATCAGTATCCTTCCTAAAATGTGCAAAGAACTGGATGCCATACATCAGGTGCAGTCTGGTCCATGTTGCTGCTGCCTCTGATTCATTTGAGTTTTTGCCCATGTATCACACGGTTTCATATTTGGATTGTAATGCTTCAAGCACTTAAGATTCCACAACAGCAGTGTATGTATTACTGTTCAGCATGATTCCCCCCCCCCCATTCCACGGCTTTACATTTGATTTTTCCTACTACTTTGATTTCCTATAATCTAGATATAAGATTATGCATTTGCTGTTGAAATTCATCTTGGCTGGTTTTTTCCATTGTTCCAGCTTGACAAAATCCTTTTGAATCTTGATAACTGTTCTGTATGGTGTTTACCAACCCCCTACTTTGACATCCTCAAATTTGATCATCATTTTTTAACGCCTCACTCAGGTAATCGATGAACATATTGAACAGCACAGAGTTGAATAGGACCCCATGATATGTGTTTTAACATGTTCAGTTTGCTGTTGTGCCACTGATGTACATTTATTGAATAGAGATAGTCCTTGATTTATAATAGTTCATTTAGTGGCCATTCAAAGTTATAATGCATTGAAAAAGTGAGTTATGACTGTTTTCCTCACTTAACTGTTGCAGCATGCCAATGGTCACATGATCAAAATTCAGATTTTGGCAATGACTCATATTTAGGATGGTTGCAGTATCCTGGGGTCATGTGATCACCTTTTGTGAGCTTCTGACAAGTAAGTCAATGGGGAAGCCAGATTCACTTAACTATGTTACTAAGTTAACAACTGCTGTGATTCAGTTAACAATTGTGGCAAGAAAGGTCATAAAATGGGGCAAACTCAATGTCTCAGCAACAAATTTTAGGCTCAATTGTCGCAAATCAAGGACTAACTGAACAGTTCTCAACCAGTTCTGTATCCATGTAATATAGCATAGCCATCTTTTTTAGATTCTCAAGAGGAATATTATTGAATGCTTTTCTGAATTAAACCTATTTCCAGTACATTCCTGAGATCATACTAGAAGCACAGCTCACTTATGGAATCAGTCAAGTTTGTGAAATGGGGCAGGTGAGATCCTGAATAGGTGTGTCTCACTACAAAACAGAACCACTAATAGGAAAATGAAAAGAAAGTTAAACTTAGTTTCTAGTTGGGAAATGGAAGTAACTCTTCACTCCATTTTATATTTAAGAGGGTGCATCAGTGATTTTCTCAAATACATTCCATACAAACTAGCAACCTTAGTATTAATTTTCACAAACAAGATATACTAACTGTTCTGCCAGAGATAAGATATCAGCCAGAGTCTAGGAGGCTTTGCTAATGTTCTGATCCAGCATTATGTGATACTTCTGAATAAGATTATAATAATGCGTTATTTCCAAATTGAAATATGTTCTAATCTAGAACAACTCATGTTTATGAACATTGCATTTTTCAGACTTGATTATTTAACTCAACGGCAGAATGATAGCTAAACAAATAGAGGCTTCTCTCTCTCTCTCCTTTATGCAATAGTTGATGTTCATTTTTCTTGTTACCGTTGCAAAATTTGAATGCCACAAATTCTGTTAATGAAATTGTATAATAAATACAGGAAGCTCTCAACTTGTGGCTGTAATTGAGCCCAACATTTCTATTGTTAAGTGAATTTTGTCCCATTTTATGAGCTTTCTTGCGACAGTTATTAAGTGAATCACTGCAGTTGTTAAGTTAGTAACATGCCTTTTAAGTGAATCTGGCTTCTCCATTGATTTTGCTTAAGGTCACAAAAAGGGATCGCATGACCCTGGAACTCTGCATAAATATAACTCAGTTGCCAAGCATTTGAATTTTGATCATATGACCATGGAGATGCTGCAATGGTCGTAAGTGAAAAATAGCTAGAAGTAACCTTTTTCAGTGCTGTTGTAACTTTTAATGGTCACTAAACGAACTGTTGTATGTTGAGGACTACCTGTATAATAAAGCAATGGGAAAGGTTTGACACAATACAACTTTGATAGGAATGATGTCTTGAATATCTGCTTCTCAAATTTATATATTTTTTTTATTTCATTTCAACTGTTTAGCCATTTAAAGTGGGGCTTAAAGGCTTGTGAACCCTTCTAAATGTAATATTTCTGCATAAACGTGACCTCAGTTAAACAAATGAATCAAAAACAGGCTTATTCATTTGAAAAAAATGATTAAAAAATATTTGTGGAAAAAAAAGTGAACCTTTCAGTAATTGGTGTTGCTGACTATTCGATGCGATAGCATTTTTGATAACTATTGATGAACACTTCACGTTGGCTTGGAGGAATTTTAACCACTCTTCCTTACCAAACAGCTTCAACTCTAGGATATTGGTGGGCTTTCCTGCTTGATGAAATGGTCTTTAGTTCCATGGATGTTACTGTGGGATTTTTAGAAACCTCTCAAAGAATATTATAGGCTTTGCTGTTGGTGTGATTTTGGTTGGTCAACCTCTCCTGCAAGGATAAAAGGGTGTTGAATTGCCTCCATTTGTACACAATCTACCTAACAGTAGACTGGTGGAATCAAAATTCTTCGGAAATAGTTACGTAATCTTTTCCAACCTGGTGAGTATTAACAACTTTTTTCGGAGGTCCTCAGAAATCTCTTTTGTTTAAATCCTGACACACTTTCATCTACTATGCTATGAAGACAGACATTGATAAGAATACTCAGAATTCTGTTAGGCAGGACCTTATCACTGAAATATCTGATTAATTTCCCCTTCAAATGAACTAATAATCCTAGAGGTTTGTATATTTTTGTCACACACATGTAGCTTTGGATCATGCTCCTCAATAAAAGATCAAGTATATTGACTACCGGTAATTTGTTTAATTAGATTCTCTAGTTTTAGAACGTGTGAATAGTATCACATTTTAGGTCATATTTATGTAGAAATATTAAAAATTCAAAAAGGTTCAGAAATGTTTAAGCCCCACTGTCTCAAGAATCGCAAGTATGCTATTACTGTGTATAATGTGTGCTGTCGTTACTGAGGACATGATAGAGAAGCGATGCAAAGTTGAAAAAATAAATGATAAAATGTACCTTCCTCACAAATGCTTTCAGCTTTTTATTGTATAAACTTGTGCAGTATAAAAAAACAGAAAATTATGAACAGAGCTTTCTATCAGGTATATTTTCTGTTTCCCATGATAAAATTTCAGCAGTAAGTTCAATTACAAAAGTTCTTCCCATTTTCTTTAACTAAAGAGCAAATTTATTTTAAACTCTTATAAAAATGTTAAAATCTGACAACTGTAACATTCATGATAAATTTTGGAAAGCTAGTTGAGAACCAGATCCTGAGTACAAATTTAAAGCTTTCATGAGTTTTCTGATATAGCTAGTCAAAATATTTTGGATTTGAGAGAATTTAATCTTGCTTCTTTGAAGAAATGCATTAATTTCTTTGAAGCAAAATTAAGGTCTCTCAATCCAAACTATTTTGACTAGATACTAGTCATTTTACTAGATATTAGATTAATTTATTTTATTTCACAGCTTTTCAGTTGGTGTTCATAGGTGCATAATGGTTACTGAGGAAAATTTGCCTAAAGCAATATAGTCAGACATTAAACCCTTCTTGCTTCATGAAGAATCCAGTCTGAATTTATAAAATCTTTGTGATTAAAACAGTTCGAAAGACAGTTTTTAGCTGAAGAGAATTTTTAATTTTAACTCTTCCTTTATAAATGAACTATATTAGAATTTTCTGTGCATTAGCTCCCCATATACATAATGACATATTATGTACATATTTTTCTTAATTCTATTGAATATATTATGAGAAAATGTACAGCTTATATACAGAAAACTGCTGAATGTGGTACATACTGTATATCCTTTTCCTGTAATGTAACAGATAATCTGCATCCATTAAGATAGAAAACCAGCCTCACAATGCTTTTACACTATGAATTCCAAGGAACATAGTAACTGATGAAATATGAAATTAAATGCACAGACTCCCCATCATTTTGTAGCAAATGTCCATAAATTTATCATGACATTTGCTCACTTTCCAAAATGAATAAAGCTGAAGTCCAATAAACCTGTTGCTCGGACAGCGACTGGTCTCGTAAAATGTCTGTTGCAATGTACTCCTGGTATCAGAAAAGCATTCTTCCAAGTTCAAACATGACCTGCAATATAAAACAGAATTTTGCTAGCTTTTATGCTTATTTGGCTGACTTCTATTTTTAGCGTTCACACAAAGTGCTCTATGCGAAGGCAAAAGCACAAAATATTTTTTTTGGGGGGGGGGGACTGAAGGAAACCCCAAAACAGCAGAATGAATACTGAATTCTACACTGTGGTCACAGAATGGGAACAAATGGGGAGGGAGTGTATGGAAAAGAGAAGTATTGTAAGATGAATGGGAACCTGAACAAAGAGTACACTTGCTACACTTTTGCAAGATTATTGAATTTCAATTTATTCCCTATATTATTGTTTTGAAATCCAGCCCTCCCAAACTTTCTAACTATCTGGCACCTGTTAACTATGGCTGTATTAGGACAGAGGGCCATTTGATTTATGATGGTAACCAGGGAATTTATTATTTATTAAATATATGCCATCCATTTCATGGTTTGAGGCGACTCTGGGTGGATTACAATATAATAAACAGATATAAAAACATTAAAATGATAAAAGATTTAAGAACTAAATAATGGCAGATTTCAAGATTTCAACAGTGGTGCCTTCTCTGTTACTGCACCAACCACTTCCAGCCTATGCTTTTCCTTCGAGGGGGCCCATGCAAACCAGCCCCGTGCCATTAGAGAGGGGGCAGATCTCATCTCTGGTGGCAAGATGTTCCAAAGGATGGGGTATGTGTAGCAAAAAAGGTCATCCCCTGGACCCCACCAGCCGAAATTCCTTGATTAATGGAATCCTCAGTAGGCTCCTTTTGCTAGAATGAGTGGAGTGGACTGATCCCATTGGGGGAAGATCGTTTCTCAGATATCCTGGACCCATGCCATGGAGCGTTTTAAAGGCTTTAAATAACCAATTCCTTGAATTGGACTCGAAAGAAAATCAGCAACCAGTGGAACTTGTGTTAACAGTGATGTTACATGTGCCATCCTAGGGGTTTCTAAAACTGCACTGCCACATTCTGGACCAATTGTAGCTCTCCAAATACTCTTCAAAGATAGCCCCATATAGAGTGCATTGCAATAATCCAAATGAGAGATGGCCAGGACACAAGTGATTGAGTGCATGGCCTCACAATTCAGAAAAGAGCGCAGTTGGTGCACACCACAAAGTTATGCAAAGGCTCTCCTAGCCACAACTGTCACTTGCTCTTTGAGCTGGAGTCTCAAGTTTAGGAGAACTTCTGTGTTGCACATCAGATCTGTCTGGTAGTTCCACCTTCTCCAGAACTAAAGATAAATCTACAAATTTATTTATTTTTCAGTAGCCACCTTTGCTTTGATGTCATTTGCTGCTAGGAAAGCCTGGATAGGCGAGATTTACCCTTTTCTATTACTCCCTTCTGTCTCTATGCACCCTGTCTGCCTGCATATGAAATAGTTTTTGGGGGGATGGGTAGTTATTCTTGCCTGTGTTCAGAAATTGTATTTGTTGAAGGCTTTAGTAATTAGTCAACTAGCTGAGTTTAGCATTAGGATAGGGATTTACAACTTTTTTTCCCCCCCAGAGAGCAGCATTTAGCCTTTCAGTTGGGGAGCCAGAAACAAAAGATAAATGTTATTTAATTAAACATAATTACTATGATTACTCTGCATATATTCAATACATTCACATCCTTTCCCTTTGCAATGTATATTTGGAGAAACTCATGGCCATTCCTTTGACTTTGGGGTACTGCAGCTTGAGTAAACGTCTCTCTGGTGTGGATACGACACTATCCAGGGAAGGTTCTGTGAGCTTGGAGTGGTATCAGTGAAAGAATGACATGCGATAATATAGTACTTAAAATCTAGTCACCAATTCAATAGAGTAAATATTCAGCTATAAGGTTCTTGCCTTGCTCCTAACCAATGTTCTCCACTATGTTGAGACAAAGACTATACCTTTAGTTAGTAAGAATTTCAAGACTGGAGGATGGAATTTCCAGCCTTTGCTGAACAAGTAATATCAAATAAAGAACACATTACTCTGACAATGGAGGAAGAAGTTGCCGTTGTATTTTTAATGTGGTACTATCTTGCATCATACAATTTTTAAATAGTACTGTTGGCAACACAGAAAGAAACTGTCAGTAGAATATTCAATATATGTATACAGCATGTAAAACATTAAATTACCATTAAACCTTTGTTCAGCCTACATACCTTGCATAACTCATGGAATATTCAGTATGCACTGTAATAAACTTACCAGTTGCTCATTTTGATTTATATGGCTATATGGGTGTATAGTAAAGTAAAATAGAATAGTAAAATTGACACACTATTATTGTACTTATCTGATTTGTCTCTTTTTAAATAAATGTATGGAAACTATTTTCAAATCATTTGGAAATGTGTACCTTATGTAAGGAAACAACTTTTAAATACTCTTCAGTGAACTTGTCAACATTCTGGGCATGTTCTAGGAAACAATTTTAATAAACCAACCTCTATAGTGATGAGTATTACTATCATCCATTCCAAGCGCAGAGCATGTTTTTCATTCAAATGATTTCTCATCAGATCTGTCAGTTCTGTGCACTGCTGGAGCTTTTCATTTACTACCTTCAGTAGTAAGGATAGAAAAGTTGATGTTTCAGAAAACCTTGAATAAACAATTTCTTAATATGTTACTTCCAGATGTGAATTTATGGAAATCAGAAATATGGGGAATTACTTTACAATATTTCTATAAACTGAATATACTAGAGTAGCTAAGACTGAGCACTCAGAGCAGTTCTTAGTCTTGGGAGATGTGATTTTTCAGCATTCACACGATAGATTGCAATGTGTAGGTCGCTCACATAATCCCAGGCTTTAATTTCCTTTCTCCACTTGCATGCATTTATAATCTTTAAATGGAAATAGATTTTTCTATTGAGCATTTCTTGTAACAAACTTAACACAATATTTAGAGGTCAGCCCTCATCACAATTGCCCTCTGAAGCATTTAGTTAAATTGTGTAAGATACCTATCATAGCCTAGTATACTTCACCAAATAATAATGAAGGGGTAAGTGTGGTTTAGCAAAACTCAGCTAACAATGCAATAGGGTTAAATATGCCCAAACCTTTAATAAAATTCACAGTAGAGAATTTCAACACAAAGTTAGAAGCAAATCCTGAAATAAAGCTGAATGTAAAACAGTTCAGTTTGGCAGTGTGAATACATATCTATTTTTATATATTCACACAGATTACTTAATTGCAGCATTTTATTCCTGAAAAGCCATAGCTGAAGGTTATAGAATATAGGGGGCCAAGAAAAGCTTCCTGTGCTCTTTTACTTGCTGCCTGAAAAAAATACTTAAATAAAAAAACAATTTTGAGATACATAGGGCACAAATGTATCAGATTTCACTATGAAACTGTAGTTAAAATGCTGCAGAATCTAATAATCCCATAAAGTAACTTTTATGTATGTATCAAAGTTACCTTATTATTAGATTACTACTAGTACTTGTTCCATGCAGGCATTATATAGCTGCGGCCCAGGTCATACTTGGATCTATAAATAATGTGAATTCTATGAAAAGCCTGTTTTTTTTAAAATCCATAGTTCCTCAAATGAAATTGTCAATTTCATCATTTCTTATTGGACTGCAAAGATTTTGTGAACTTTTAAAAAAAAAACCAGCAGACTTTTTTATCCATGTGCATTAATTTAAAGACAGTAGTGAGGTTGTTTTATTCCTGAATCCCATTGTTCATACACAGGCGCAACAATGCCTGGAAGTTCTTTCAAGTGTTTCATTAGTCGGAATCATGACATCATGGCAGCAATCCCATCTTAGAAAGCAAATTTATAAATCTTCTTAGTTAATTTCATTTCAAACAACTGGGTTATATCAAGGGCAGCCAAAAACAACCTGTTCAATCTGTTACTGAATTAAAATATATTTGCATACTAATAACTATATACTAATAACTATGTAACTATAGTCCAGAGTTCACTAAGAATGTGTGGAATCTAGAGAAAGTTTCATGGATATTGTTACAGATTGCTATCCCAGTCAGCTGGTTCAGCCTAAATGATGCTGCTCTGTAAAGCCAAACTGATGCCTGCAACACTATCATACATCATTTCAGAAACAATCAACAGACAATTACAACCATGTGGTATCACTGTAGTACACTAATCAACTGGAGCCCTCCAAACCATGTTATGTAAACCGAATGACTTAGTAGCCCAAGAAGAAAGAACAAGAGTCATCTATAACACGAAGTGTAAGGACTGTAACAGCTAGTATGTAGGACAGACAGGCAGAAGATAGCAGAGTGCATCCATGAACACCATTTAGCAACTGGAAGGTACAATGAAAACTCATAGCATGTAGAAAGACTGAACTATAATTTCAATTGGAAAACTGTTGTAGACCAGGGGTGTCAAACTGCCGGCCCGCGGGCCGGACGCGTCATCCCAAAACCGCGCCCACCCCATTGCCGGCAATGGAGAAAAAGCTCCGATACGTCGCGTGACGTCACGTGACGTCGCGAGTTTGACATGCCTGTCCTAGACCAAGCTAAATCCAAAAACTATGGAATCCCTGGAAGCTTAGCTTTCAGACAAGTCATCCATTAATAGGACAAATAGAGATAAACCACATTTACACACCATTCAAAAGATACAATAAAAAAGCTAAGAAAAACAAAAAGACCAGAACACATTCTGTCCAACAACCTACATCCAGATAATCAGGGATTAACACCAGACAAACAAGCAAAACACAGTATTCTAGTCAAGGAACTACCAAAAAAAAAAAAAAGTTATACTTTCACCAACACCGGGAAGGCAAGCTACTTGTATATAAAGAGAGAGCAAGTCCCACACTCACAGCACTGTTGATGTTACTTTGTCAATAATGAAACATCTGCAAGCAAACAACCAAGCTTAGAGAGCACCAATGACTCTACAGTTCGACCCTGACCTACTTATGTTCTTTTCTATTGAAAAGTAACAATTTGTGGAAAGTACTACTTTAAGTTCACAAGTTCTTGACTGCATTTCTAAACCTTTCCTTGACTAGGATTTCTAAACATTTTTTGTTGCCATCTAACAATCACCAAGACACACTTTTCCAATATCCCCATAGTAATATATTGTACATATTTTAAGAAAAAATCATCTAAGTAATTTTTAGAGTCAACCATTAATCATAAACTACTCTAAAAAAAACCAGTTAGCAGAGAACCTGAAAAAGCAAGTTTCTGTGTAATATTCCACTTGCTAAATTGCTGGTGACAACTGTTCCTCCGCCCATCAGAATTACATGAATTTAAGAAAAAGCGTAAACTTATCATAAAATCTCCCCAAAAGTTATAGAATGCATTGGTTATGTTTGCATAAAACAATAAAGCTACAATCTGACTTATTCATAATAACCTGTTGAAACCCACTACTTGATTATGCCTAAACCATTCCTCCTGGTAGTGGGAACAGCTATACTAAATCACAAGAAAGAAGCGTCTCAGAGGTAGCATTCTAACTTGTCCTGAACAATCCAGGAATACTGTTCATATATGTTGCTAAACATTTTACAATTGGCCTACCATTTTATGCAAATAGAAAATAATGTTTGTAGATTGTTCCTAAAATAAATAGTGCAGCCGGCAAAATAACAATATTTGTCCAAAAACAATGAGGATGAAAACAGAGAAATTAGATTTGTTAAGAGAAGCGATTGTTAAAAAAAAATAATCCTCCAAGCTGAGAGAGAAACAGTAAAATAATACCTTAACTCTGCGATCAATACTGAGAAACCGATACATTTTATCATACAGTTGTTCAAGATGTTCTCTGTCCCAGTAGAAATCTGGGGCAATCAACAGATCAGAACTCAGATTTATACGATGCCTGAGGAAGAGAAGATAGATAAATTCTTATTTAAAAGCCAGTTAATGAATTGTATTTTGCATACTGCATTGTTATAATTTGGGACAAACAAATACTCTTTGGACAAACACTCTTCATGTAGCAAAAAAACTTTGTTACATTCTCACAGCTACAGATTTTATGGTCAGTTTTCCATCTCCAAATAAACCTTCTATTCTTTTAGAACCTGATTTAAGCTTTAGAGACATGTTATCTTTTATTTAGGGTGATATATAATATGTATTACGCGAAACTTAGGTTATCAAGGAGTTGAAGAAAATACAGAATTTATCAAGTTTACAATTTAACGGCATAAGCATTATCGTTTCCAGTTTTTAATACATTTATATCACATCTTAACAAAACCCTTGCATGGTGATTTTGCATCATTCCATGGTGCATATTCTTCTAATTATTCAAACGATCTGACATTTTAATGGCATGTGACTTGGGCTTAGCTGTAATGAGCCTTTCTATTGTATTTAAGACTGTTTCCTATTTACGTTTTTGTTCCTTAACAAGGGTTTGCATGCTCTCTGATAGTGAATTGGCTTTTTAAAGAGTAAACATTACTCTTCACTCTAAACATAAAACATTTTAAAAGACTGCGCTAGATTTATAAGTAGAAATATAAGTATCCCTACAGAAAAAAAACTACTGGTATTAAAAATAAAAAAACCAATATACAATATGTTAAGATTGATCTTTGTCTGTACTGATAGTTAATACTATGTGGTGGCACATAATCAAAAGTAAGGACCTGGCAAATAACAGGAATTTTAACAGGAAGATAACAAGATGCTTGTTGGTGTTAGATTGATACATATAAGCTCTGACTTCTCTTTAACGATTACTTAGATCTGTTAAAGGACAGAAGGACAATAGTCAAGATGCAGAAGAGAAAAATATAATTGTACCACTTTAGAAATATCATAGGATTTAAAAAGCAGATCATACATGGCAGTATATTGTATACACATATATATATGTGAATACTGTCATGGTATTTTTTTTTGTTCAAGATTGCTTTTAAAACTGATTCTAAAATGCAATCTATTTGCTTGTCTTTAATTCAGATACCTCAAGGCAAACAGTTCCCCAATTTTCTGCATAACATCAGCATGAGAGAGTTTCAGTTTCTTTCTTAATTTAAGCATCTATAAGAAGAGAGTAATAAACCAGTAAGAACATTGATGTTTTTTAGATGTACAATATTACCCACCCCGATGCCAACTGCACTCTTTACTTGAACTGGCAGAAGCAATCCTGATGACAATAAAGATTTACCCTGATTTTCATATTAGTTTTGGGAGGTGGGATAGGCAGTCTTGCCATAGATGGTTTGTGATAACCCTATTGTCATGGCCCGAGAACTTCCTGATAAAGTTTAGGTTCTAGGTTAAGATCTATCCTACAGGACAGAGAGATCAATTAAAATGCTCCATTCACAAAGACTTATGTTATCTGATGAATATCTCAGCATTCTACAAGCGTTTCCAGGAGACAAGGAGGATGAATCCTCAAGTAGCTATGCAGCAAGCTTTTCTATATCACAAAATCTATAGTACCATGTTATCTATCTTGAAGGAATGTAAATCAGGCCTTGGGAATGGGGACAAAGTGAGTCAACCGCTGAGGGGAGACTTTTCCAAATAAACTTGCTTTGATTTTGCTTCATGTAAAATGGGGCAGAGAGAAACTTTGACAGGTTTTCAAGATTCAGTCATTATATCTACAGTGTTCACAGCTGTGCCTGTTTCTTGATCCTGCTTGATCTAAAAGGTTGACACTATCCTAATAAATGCACTCAGAATCCTACTGTGATAGGTTTGAATGGCACCTTAAGAACAGAATACTTCACACTAATGTAAAAACATTGTTCCAGGTCCAAATTCCTTGTCTTCTCCAGTTTAATGGAATCCTTTTCAGCCTGAGAATGTAGACCACAAGGAAGTGGTGGTTCATCCTACTGTCCTCTTGACCCTTGACCATCATGGCTAATTAGCCAACCAATCAAGGGAGAATTGTCCAGGTGGATAAATATTGAATGCATTTTATCCTAAATGGAAGATCTTTGGTGCTCTTAGAGACTGTTTAACACTGTTTTCCCCCAAAAGAAGTCTTGCAGAGCACACATTATTAGAAGTGCCTTTGAAAAAAGAAAATTTTCCACAACACATTGATCAAGCCGGGGGTGTGAGTCTGGGAGGACCTCCAGATTGTGCACTGGTTCTGCATTTTGTAAAGTCACTGAAGTTAACTTGAAAGTGTTTCATATCTAACTGTTCAAATTTAACAGAGTTTCACTGAAATTTCGATCTGGCAAACAAATCCCAATTCATTTCTTATGCCCAAGAATAAATGGTAAATACAACAATCCAAATTTATTCACCTATGGTGTCAAAAATCTGCAAATTTTCCAGACTTAATTTTATGGAAAAATGAAAAAAATAGCAAGTACCTCAGGTATTGATTGGATAGATTCTACAAAATTATCCAGTGATGCTTCCCAAATGGCCAGTTTTACTACAATAGAGAAAAGCGTAAAAGACTTATTATTCTTATGTGGTACACTTTCAAGTTTTATCACAAAATCAAATCTTTAAATTTTTACTGTCCAATGCTTGAGAAATAATGATGGTATGTTGATTATTGCTTTCAGATTTTAAAATAGGTACAAGTTTCTGATTTTGACTGAGGGACAGGCATTTGTTCTCTGTTAACCTAATATGTTCTTTTTGACATAGTGTAATGTACAGTAAAAACCCACCTAGCATGATACATACATAAAGGGGAAAAATATTTGGATCCCCTGCTGATTTTATACGTTTGCCCACTGACAAAGAGCTGATCAGTCTATAATTTTAATGCTAAGTTTATTTTAACAGTGAGAGATAGAATAACAACAAAAAAATCCAGGAAAGCGCATTTCAAAAAAGTTATAAATTGATTTGCATTTTAATGAGTGAAATAAGTATTTGATCCCCTATCAATCAGCAAGATTTCTGGCTCTCAGGTGCCTTTTATACAGGTAATAAACTGAGATTAGGAGCATTCTCTTAAAGGGAATGCTCCTAATCTCAGCTTGTTACCCTTTACAAGACACCTGTGCACAGAAGCAATCAATCAATCAGATTCCAATTTCTCCACCATGGCCAAGACCAAAGAGCTGTCTAAGGATGTGAGGGGCAAGATTGTAGACCTACACAAGGCTGGAATGGGCTACAAGACTATCACCAAGCAGCTTGACGAGAAGGTGACAACAGTTGGTGCAATTATTCGCAAATGGAAGAAACACAAAATAACTGTCAATCTCCCTCGGTCTGGGGCTCCATGCAAGATCTCACCTCGTGGAGTTTCAATGATCATGAGAATGGTGAGGAATCAGCCCAGAACTACACAGGAGGATCTTGTCAATGATCTCAAGGCAGCTGGGACCATAGTCACAAAGAAAACAATTGGTAGCACACTATGCTATGAAAGACTGAAATCCTGCAGCGCCTGCAAGGTCCCCCTGCTCAAGAAAGCACATGTACAGGCCCGTCTGAAGTTTGCCAATGAACATCTGAATGATTCAGAGGAGAACTGGGCGAAAGTGTTGTGGTCAGATGAGACCAAAATTGAGCTCTTTGGCATCAACTCAACTCACTGTGTTTGAAGGAGGAATGCTGCCTATGACCCCAAGAACACCACCCCCACTGTCAAACATGGAGGTGGAAACATTATGCTTTGGGGGTGTTTTTCTACTAAGGGGACAGGACAACTTCACTGCATCAAAGGGATGCTGGACGGGGCAATGTACTGTCAAATCTTGAGTGAGAACTTCCTTCCCTCAGCCAGGGCATTGAAAATGGGTATTCCAGCATAGCAATGACCCGAAACATATGGCCAAGGCAACAAAGGAGTGGCTCAAGAAGCACATTAAGGTCCTAGAGTGGCCTAGCCAGTCTCCACACCTTAATCCCATAGAAAATCTGTGGATGGAGCTGAAGGTTCGAGCTGCCAAACATCAGCCTGGAAACCTTAATGACTTGGAGAGGATCTGCAAAGAGTGGGACAAAATCCCTTCTGAGATGTGTGCAAACCTGATGGCCAACTACAAAAAGCGTCTGACCTCTGTGATTGTCACCAAGGGTTTTGCCACCAAGTACTAAGTCATGTTTTACGAAAGGGTCAAATACTTATTTTACTCATTAAAATGCAAATCAATTTGTAACATTTTTGAAATGTGTTTTTCTGGATTTTTTTTTTGTTATTCTGTTTGTCACTGTTAAAATAAACCTGCCATTAAAATTATAGACCGATCATTTGTCAGTGGGCAAACGTACAAAATCAGCAGGGGATCAAATAATTTTTTCCCTCACTGTATAATTTGCAAATCAAGTCAAAATTGCTTTTTCAAGTATTTTTTTTAAATCCTGGCATACTGTTTCATATGAACCATTTTACCATTTTATATGAACCTACCCATTATTTCTCTGCTCTAAGTAGCAATGAAGATGGTTAAAAGCCTGGAGACAAAAACATATGAAGAACGGTTGTAGGAATTGGGTATGGCTAGTCTAGAGAAAAGAAGGACTAGGGGTGACATGATAGCATTATTCCAATATTTGAGGGGGTCAACTTATTTTCCAAAGCACCAGAAGGGAAGACAAGAGTTTGAGTTTGAGTTTTATTGTATTTATATCCCGCCCTTCTCCTTGCGGACTCAGGGCGGCTAACAGCCTTGATAAAACAAATACAAAAATACCAAAGTAACTGTAGTTAAAAACATAATTAAAAGAAGATATTAATATTGGCCTATGTTAATTTAAAAATATTTTAAAACCCAGCTAAAAATTTCCCCTAGGCCAGTCCTGCTAGCTGAAACAGCCATGTCTTAAGGGCGCGGCGGAAGGAAGGGAGATCCGGGATCACCCTGATCTCTGGGGGTAGTTCATTCCATAGGGTGGGAGCTCCCNGGGGTCGCCAGCCGGCACTGTCTGGCTGACGGCACCCTGAGGAGACCCACTCTGTGGGAGCGTACTGGCCGATGGGAGGTAATCTGAGGCAGAAGGCGGTCTCGGAGATATCCAGGTCCGATGCCATGGAGCGCTTTGAAGGTGATAATCAACACCTTGAAGCGCACCCGGAAAGCCACCGGCAGCCAGTGCAGCTCGCACAGTAACGGTGTTACATGGGAGCGACGAGTCCCTCCCAACACCGCCCGCGCGGCCGCATTCTGGACTAACTGGAGCCTCCGAGTGCTCCTCAAGGGGAGCCCCATGTAGAGAGCATTGCAGTAGTCCAGGCGGGAGGTGACAAGGGCATGGGTGACTGTGCGCAAGGTGTCCCGGTCCAGAAAAGGCCGCAACTGGTAGATCAGGCGTACCTGATAAAACAATGGATGGAAACTAATCAAGGAGAGAAGCAACCTGGAATTAAGGAGAAACTTCCTAACAGTGAGAACAATTAACCAGTGGAACAGCTTGCCTTCAGAGGTTGTGGGTGCTTTATCATTGGAGGTTTTCAGCCACCTGTCTGAAATGATATAAGATCTCCCGCCTGAGCAGGGGTTGGACTAGAAGACCTCCAAGGTCCCTTCCAGCTCTATTCTGATTGATAATACCCTTCCTACTAAAAAAAGTAAAGGTAAAATTTCTGTTGCCCCTATTCAAATCAAAATACTCTAATCCCAATTCACATAAGGTTCAATCATAAACCTCCCATTTCATGCTCCTTTCAGCCCAAAGGGAAACATTATTTTACAATATTATTTTCTACAAAGTAGGAATGCTTAAATTTTATGCAGTCTACACACCGTTTCTTCTGTTTCTCAGAAGTAGTTTGACATTGCCTCTTTCCTAGGGCTGAGAGAAAGTGACTAGCCCAAGGTCACCCAACTACCTTTGTGCCTAAAGCAGGGCTAGTATTAACAGTACTAGCCTGATGCTTTACCCTCTTCATCAAACTGGCTCTCAAAGAATCACAAATCTACAGTGTAACATAAAATTATCTGCAATGGCATAATCTATGTAGTATTAAAATTTTTCTCTATGAACATTCTCGGTCATCCAGGTCATAGCTGTATCAAAAGTGGTTTTTATTTTTGAAAAGTCCATTTGTCTTTTCAAAAATAAAAGCCACTTTTGATACTAAAACGTTTGTTGTCATGACTTTAAACTAGGTGAAACACTGTATCCTAGGGTAACTTTTGAACCAAGGTCCCTCAAATGAGCTAACCGACAGCGGGTGTCCAAAATCTGGCATCATGACTCCCTGAAGGAATGAAATTTGGGAAAGTTGTGGCTGCTTCAGTGCTACTGGCTGCTACTCTGGTTACATGAATTTTATTTTGTGACAGTTTGCCTGTTAGTCTCACAATCCCTTGCTCCCTCTCCCACCCAGAAACAGCCACTTACCTGCCTATCGGAGGGGGAAGAGAGAAAGGAAGGGAATAGAAATTTCTGGTGTTCCCTGCCAAATTTCCACAAGGAAACACAATGGGGAAGCCAGCAGGAAATCGGTTCCTACTCCCATTGGTTTTTTTTTGCCTACTCTTGGTCAGTTTCCCTGTTTAGGTAAGGAAATATCTTTGAAACAATGAGGCAACAGGGCACAGGTTGTCTGATTTTCTTTCTTTCTTTCTTTCTTTCTTCTGAGAAAATTTTTCAAAATAGTTGTAACTATAGATGTAACTATTCATGCAGAGTATCTGGTGAGAGTGCCTTATATATTATAAATGCATTCATGAATTCCATTTCCTCCCAGATTTCAAGTAATAATACAAATCATTAAATGAAATTATACGATGGACAGCTTACCAGAAAGGCACAGAGCGTTGGAAAAAGCAAACTTCTCTAAAACGATGTCATCCACTTCTGTATCTGAATTGATCAAGATTTCTCCTCTGTGAAGCTTTGATTGCCCTCTATGAAAAAGGTATGAATGGATTACATTAGGTTTGAGCAACTTTGTGCTCCCTATCAGTCCCAGCCAGCATTACCATTGGTCTAATAGTGAATCAAATGAGTATTAGAAGAGGTGGGACTGTGTAACAAAACATGAGCAGGTATCCTTCAGTCAGTTCCGAAGAATACGAAAAAATAAACTTTAGAGAGTACTTGACATAACATATATCTTATTCCACATATGAATTTGTTTCTTTTGTTGTATATGTGAATTTCTGTTTCTTTCATTGTATCTTTTATCATTTAAAACTTAATATTCAATCTGCATAAAAGTGGTAACACTTTGTACATAGCTGAGTGCATTGGCCTTGAAGATGCTCAAACAGAACAGTGATAATTTGTGGCAATGTAATAAGGGTCAGTCTTAATAACTGAAATGTTAAGGCTGTCCTCAACTTACAACAACAATTGGGATCAGAATCTGAGTCATTGAGTGAAGTGGTCATTAAGTGAGATGTCCATGTAACTGCTTTGCTCAACAACTGCAACCCGGCATTCCCAATTCCAGTTGTTAAGCAATCTCCTAGGTCAGGGGTAGGCAACCTTGGCTCTTTTATGACTTGTGGACTTCAACTCCCAGAATTCCTGAGCCAGCCATGCTGACTCAGGAATTCTGGGAGTTGAAGTCCATGAGTCATAAAAGAGCCAAGGTTGCCTACCCCTGTCTTAGATCATTAAGCAGATGGAATGAAAGAGCTGCCTGTGTGATGGAATGTGCAAATGGAGAAGGAGATGGAGGGAATGTCAGCAACAGCATAGCAGCTTCCCCGAAACATCACTAGTTTCTTATTTTATAATGGAATTATCAATCTTTTTCATGAAGAAGTTTATAAAATGCCAAGATGCTATGATACAACTTGTATCTGAATATATGTTCCAGAAATAATTATTTGTCAACATTTCTACCCTTATTAGCCTGTGGCTTAAATGGAAAACTTCATGAGTTCATGACATTCACATACTTACTCTCCTCTTCTGTAGCTGATCTCTTCGTTTTCCCAGTGAACTAATGCAATTTCATAAGGCTGGACCTCATGTTTTTCCAGCTTTTGAAAAATATTCTTTATCTGGGAAATAGATTGTAAATTAAAGTTGCTAGCAAGTTCTGAAGAAGAATTAGATACAGTTAGACTATTGACCAAAGTGCCCTCATTCTCTTGTGAGAAGAAAACTATGTCAACAAGAAATCATAAGGAAAACAAAATAATTCCATATTCCAGTTTTTTTCTCACAAGTATTTGCTCAAGATAGAGAAGTGTTTACAAGGAACAATTGGCTAGAGGTTGTAAATTTGTACCTATAAACACCCTCATGCATTTGTTTATAACTCAGATTATAAGAGCCACGGGTGACACAGTGATTAGAATGCAGTATTGTAGGCTAATTCTGCTGACTGCCAGGAGTTTGATCCTGATCGACTCAAGGTTGACTCAACCTTCCAAAGTCAGTAAAATGAGGACCCAGATGGTTGTGGGCAATATGCTGACTCTGTAAAACACTTAGAGAGGGCTGTAAAACACCATGAAGTGGTATATAAGTCTAAGTGCTATTGCTAATGCTATTATAATTCTGAAAGCAGCCTTTTAGGAAAAAAATAGTAAGAATTTGTTAAAAGAAAATGAGCAAAATCACAAAAATTAAAAAACTTTACTTTCTAGGTATTTTCTTCCTACAAATGCCATCTGACCCAGCATTCATGTTACTTTGATGAAGGTAAATTTGGAAATATTTGTTTCTGAAAACAATGTACGTTTCCTTCTAGAATCTGACTATTTCTGCATTTCCACCACCCACTCTATATACCATTCCTGATTATTTTACCATGATGAATATCAAAAAAGTCTTTAATATATTCTCAAAAAAAAAATCTGCAGCTAGATATAAATCATTATGAAATAGTTGGGAAATTATGTAATTTGAATCCTTTGGAAGACATGGCATCACAAAAGAACAATACTAATAAAGCAGATTGGAAAGTTAAATATAAAAATGGTTAATAATACCGTATATACTCGAGTATAGGTCGACCCGAATATAAGCC